TGATGGTTTTGTTTCTCTCATGGGGAAGACTACAGATTCAAATATTACACTGTGTTAGTATGAGAGGTTAAGAGAGGCAATCTTGATGAAGCCGGGCTGAATCGGATCAAACTCCGGAAATTCCATTTTCAGTATGACTACGAAGAGCACTGTTTTGTTTACATCGATAATCTACAGGCAAAATACCCTCATTTGTTATGTGGAAAAGCAGAAAACAGGGGTTTAGAAGGTTGTTTAACCATTAAACTTGTTTGAAAGGAGTGCCCTTGCCTAAATAGACATCTTCAAAGCCCCATCCGCGGATTTGCTGCGGAAAATCACCAACACAAGTAGGTCTTCTCCTTTTCTTCCTTCGAAGAGGATTCAAGTTTCCGCAATTGCCTGTGCACCGTAGTTCCTTAGCTTGATTTCGGTGGTCAAACCGCCTGTCTCAATTTTTTCAATGCAAAATCGAATTATTTTAGTGTTCGTGAAATACCTATGAAGAAAATTCTTAATTGTTTACCATCAAGAGCAAATGCAGTTCCGCCGAAAAAAATTCTGAAGTCATTGAAGTACCAGAAGCACTATAAAAATCGCTTCGAGTTCAATGGTTAGGCAAATCGAACCAATCTTTGCTGAAACCGGACTGAATCGGATCAAACTCCGGAAATTCCTTTTTCAGTATGACTACGAAGAGCACTGTTTTGTTTACATCGATAATCTACAGGCAAAATACCCTCACTTGTTATGTGGAAAAGCGGAAAACAGGGTTTAGAAGGTTGTTTAACCATTAAACTTGTTTGAAAGGAGTGCCCTTGCCTAAATAGACATCTTCAAAGCCCCATCCGCGGATTTGCTGCGGAAAATCACCAACACAAGTAGGTCTTCTCCTTTTCTTCCTTCGAAGAGGATTCAAGTTTCCGCAATTGCCTGTGCACCGTAGTTCCTTAGCTTGATTTCGGTGGTCAAACCGCCTGTCTCAATTTTTTCAATGCAAAATCGAATTATTTTAGTGTTCGTGAAATACCTATGAAGAAAATTCTTAATTGTTTACCATCAAGAGCAAATGCAGTTCCGCCGAAAAAAATTCTGAAGTCATTGAAGTACCAGAAGCACTATAAAAATCGCTTCGAGTTCAATGGTTAGGCAAATCGAACCAATCTTTGCTGAAACCGGACTGAATCGGATCAAACTCCGGAAATTCCTTTTTCAGTATGACTACGAAGAGCACTGTTTTGTTTACATCGATAATCTACAGGCAAAATACCCTCATTTGTTATGTGGAAAAGCGAAAAACACGGTTTAGAAGGTTATTTAACCATTTAACTTGTTTGAAAGGAGTGCCCTTGCCTAAATAGACATCTTCAAAGCTCCATCCGCGGATTTGCTGCGGAAAATCACCAACACAAGTAGGTCTTCTCCTTTTCTTCCT